GAATAATCTTAGAATGTCAGAGCTGGAAGGGATCAGAGTAGTGATCAAGTCTACACATAATTTTACTCCACAAAAATTCTGACAGGTAGGAAGTATTAGACATGGAGGATAAGAGAGGGGACAAGGCTTGCTTGAGGCCACCCAGTAATAGTGTGGAGTCAGAATTCAAACCCTAGCTGCTGGCTTCAAAGCTAGATCATCAGGTTGAAGACTCAACCAACAGAAGGAAAGTGATATATTTTGCATGAGGCTGAGAAAAGTCGGGACAAGAACGTTTGTTGCGTACCTGCTAGAGGTTAGGCAGTACATAGTGCCGCAGATATAGTGCTTCATTTTCACCCTCCCAATAACTCTGCAAAGTGGGTATCATTTTTATTTTCAAATGGGGAAACAGGCTCAGAGTGGTGAGATAACCAGCTCAAAGTCACACAGCTAGGTAAGCATCGGTGGCTATGCCCATTGCTTTATTTCCCTGATGTAATAGGGATGGGAAGTCAGAGAGCAAAACCCTGGCCATGTTTAGCTGGTGCTTTTTCAGGGAGAAACATTGAACTATCAGACATATATGCTCCAGTCTGTGGGGAGTGGACACTATTGTGGGCCTGGGTGAAATGTCCCTTGAGATTCCCTACCTCCCCCAGCCCTTCCTGATCTTCCACTTATCCAGCATCCTCTGGCTAACTACCTGGACTCTGTGTGTCCTGATACTGGGAAGGGGGTACCCTGGATGACAAACATGAGAAACCCCATCATGGAAACTGGAAACCCCCCATTGTGTGAACTGGTTGGTGTTCTGTGGTCAAGGCAAGGCCCTCAACAGTGGTGACCCCACCAATGCCCTTTGCCCCATGAACTCTACCAATGCAGCCACTGGCCACTTGCTCTAATAGCCCTATCTACATTCTTTTTTTTTTTTTTGAGACATTTTGCCCGGGCTAGAGTGAGTGCCGTGGCGTCAGCCTAGCTCACAGCAACCTCAAACTCCTGGGCTCAAGTGATCCTCCTACCTCAGCCTCCCCGGTAGCTGGGACTACAGGCATGTGCCACCATGCTCGGCTAATTTTTCTATATATTTTTAGTTGTCCAATTAATTTCTTTCTATTTTTAGTAGAGATGGGGTCTTGCTCTTGCTCAGGCTGGTTTTGAACTCCTGAGCTCAAACAATCCGCCCGCCTCGGCCTCCCAGAGAGCTAGGATTACAGGCGTGAGCCACTGTGCCCGGCCCCTATCTACATTCTTTAACAAAATGCAGGTCCTCATCCACACTCACATAAGCCTCTTCAATGTTTTAATTTAGAGTCACTTAATATTTAGTTCATAGTGCACACTCATGTAAGTTATTTCCTTTAACCTCATCGCAGCTCAGTGATGGGCCTCAGGTTAGGAAACTGAGGCCCAGTGAGGTTGTACAACTTGCCCAAGGTGGAACATCTAGTAAGTGGTGGAGCCAGGATTCAAACCCAGATACATCTGAATCTAAAGTCTATTCTCTTTGCATAACATCGTACTTTTCATATTTCCTATTTAAGTCCAATATCAGAGGTCAGACAAGTGTGAAGATCCTTGGTCCCTTTATAATGGTGAGGACGCTTACCTCAGAGAGGTTAGAGGACTTGCTGGAGGGTGCTCTCTGGGATGATGTTGATGCTGTCATCAGAATCCAGGTCTCCTGACTTCCAAACTAGAGGACACTTTCTCCCAGACCATAGTGCCATTCCCATCAGACCATGTAATTTCTTTTTCTGATTAGGACATGGAGCCAGCAGCCAAAAACGATCACAGTCTGTCTGCCTGAAGTCTCCCTCTGTTATGAGAGGAGAGTTTTAAAAGCAATATATTTCAAACAGGACCCAGGTTAAAACCCTTGCTTGTGTTGAATTGGTCTGTGCTTCCCTGGTGTGACTCCAGTATCTTCTTCTCATCCTCCGGGTGACAGAACAAGGCAGGGCGGTTCCACCAGCATCATGGCTGCTAAGCTTGTGCACAGCCCCTCTGTTCACCCTTAACTCCTTCCAATCACCAGCTCCTGTTCCCCACTGCCCTCCCCATCCAGTCAATTACCAAGTCGTCCCAGTCCATATTCTAAATATTCCATGGCCGCCACCCTAGTCTAGGCCTGGATTATCTCCCACCTGGATTGTCATTACAGCCACCTAACGGATGTCCCTGCTACAGTCTTGGCCCCCTCCAAGCTATCCTTTCTGCTGCAGCCAGAGTGGCTTTCTACCCCATTAAAGACCCTTCTATTGCTCTTCATTACCTTCATATTTAAGTTCAAACCCTTCACAGCCTGCCATTTCAAACTGATCTCGTGGCCGGGTGCAGTGGCTCATGCACTCTGGGAGGCCGAGGTGGGAGGATCGCTCGAGGTCACGAGTTCGAGACCAGCCTGAACAAGAGTGAGACCCCGTCTCTACTAAAAATAGAAAGAAATTATCTGGACAACTACAAATATATGTAGAAAAAATTAGCCGGGCATGGTGGCGCATGCCTGTATTGCCAGCTACTTCGGAGGCTGAAACAGAAGGATTGCTTGAGCCTAGGAGTTTGAGGTTGCGTGAGCTAGGCTGATGCCACAGCACTCTAGCCCAGACAACAGAGTGAGACTGTGTCTCAAAAAAAAAAAAAAAAAAACTGGACTCGTGCAGTCCTTCAGCCACATTGGGCCACTTATAGCTCCTACCACACACCTTCCTTCCTCCCCTCTCTGTCTACTATGTCCTCCCTCCAACAACATACCCTAACCCAATTTGACTAACTTATACTCAATCTTAAAAACTCAGCTTAGATGGCTCTTACACTGGGAAGCCTTCCCTGACTCCCAGGGCTGTGCGTGAGTTCCCCCCTACCCCCATGTGAAGACAGTTTTGTCTTTAATGTGTTCACTGCTACATTCCCTGTGCCTAGAACTTTACCTGGCCCATGGCAGGCACTCAATAAATTTGTTAAATGAAAGCATCCCATAGCCTACTGGAATTCCTCCACCATAGAACTTATCATATGTATTACATCTTACATCATATATATTACATATATTATATCTTTCCTTTTCTGTCCCTCCAAGTGGACTGAAAACTCTGCAAGTCCAGAACCGTGACTTATTGTTCAATATCTTACCCTTGTAGCCTTATGTGATTCCTGACACACACAAATGGTGTGTTTACTTTTGATGAGTGAGGATTAGGTGTTGAGGGGTGGAAACCCTGGGCCTGGGCTGAGGGAGGGGCATTCTACTAACAAACAGATTTACTCCCAACACAAAAGCAGGTGAGAGATATAAGAAAGGGTAGGAGAACCCATCAAATTGGATGTATAAAACAATAACAAACTAAGTACAGGTCTCCTCTGGAAGGCCCCACATCTCAATGTGAATAAGGGTTGCAGAATCCCCTTTGGTGCTCAAGCTCAAACTCTTCTTCCAGGAAACCGCTTCTACCCGCTTTGCCACAATAGCGTGGAAGAGCAAGGTGGGTACGGTGTGGGATGAGACCTGTGCATGTGTTACGGGAGATAGCTCATCCTGGAGAAGTCATAGGCCACACATCAGCGAATGTGTACGTATGTGGGGGATGGGCAGTGGAGAGGGGTAGTGTGGAACATAACATGGCCAGGACTTTGGAAACCATGGACTCTCTGCCTCAGAGGAGAGCCTGCTCCCTTGGCCTTGCTGAGCCAGCTGGGTATTAAAGCAGACTTCAAGATGATCGTCTCAGTCTTGGTGACTGCAAGGGGGGACTCTCAGCTATTACTATAATCTCTCTGGTGTCCAACAGGGTCTGGACACTGCTCTAACACCTGGCTTCCCCCTGCAAGCCCCTCTCTCTGGGACCATCGCCTACCTTCCATGTGTCCAGCAAGGTAACTGGACCCCCCAGAGCCACTAAGCTGCCACTGGCAGGGTGGACGGGTTCTAAGTTATGCCACTACCAGGAAAGCTGCTCTCCTGCACAGAGCATGGCGGGAGCTTCGTAAACACTCACCAAGGGTTGAAGGAAGACTAAAAAGAGCACTGCTCCTACGGAGGGGGGAGTTGCATAAATACAGAGTTCATTTCACCTGAGGTTCCTTTCTCCTCCTTCAACTGTAACTCTTTCTCTGAGAAAACTGTTTTCTCTGAGAAAACTGTTAGGAAAGGAGAAATGGATCAATCCAAAAACAAAAGAATAAAGGAAAGTAGAATCTGCCAGTGTGTTACAGCCCTGTTGCAGTGACCTTGAAATGGAAATCAGTACTCGGGAAACTAGAATTACTATTAACAAATAATTCCTGAAAAACCAAGCAAGTTGGAAAGTAACCTCTAATCTCATCATAGCAAGCCTGGGAGTTTTCAGAGAAATTTTATGAGGAAACTATGAGGAAAAGCAATTTGTCAAAGGAAATACAAAAGCAGAGAGAAAGACACACAGAGGATGACGGGGAGAGACAAGGAAGATGGGGGGAGGCAGAGGGAGAGAGGAAAGGAGGACAGGAAGAGGAGAAGAGACAGAATGCAGGAGAGGAGGGAGTTACAGAAGGAGACGAGACAAGGGCGAGAAAAACCAAGTAGAAGGAAAAACCATGAGTAGAGAGGAGGGAGAATGAGAGAGGGAGAGCACAGGAAGACAGAAGATGAAAAGAGAAAATAGAGTCTCATATGTTGAGGGCTAGGAGGAGGAGACAAGATTGTTAAGCTCTTCCTCAGCCACCCTGGGGACACATATCCCTCAGGAGGTAGAGGACTCACTGGCTCGTGAGAGAGGAGGGGAGAGAGAGGCGGGAGCAGCTGAGATATAGGCAGACGGGGGTCCATGGGGCAGGCAGAGGCAGCTGGGGAATCCATATGAAGGGCGGGGGCAACTGGACAGTCCAAAGATGCCTCCAGCAGAACCAGCTACCTCCATCCTCACCCCAGAGTCTCAGCCCTTACCTGAGCTGGGGACCTAATCCCTGACCCGCCAAACTTGCATACTCTCGGCTGCAGGAGGGCTGGCTCCGGTCGGGCGGGCACCTGCCAAGGATACAGGCTTCTTCAGTGTAGGGCACGGCAGCCGTGGTGCCGCCGATGATGTAGCTGTAGAAGGAGACCTCCAGCGTGTAGCAATAGGAAGTGTGGTCCAAGAGCCCGCCGAGGAAGCGACGGCCAGTTCCCGCTTTCACGGCATCCCGGTTAAAGGATGTGCTGGACTGTGAAAGACAAAGTAGGGGGAGAGAATCAGGGCCGGGCACCTGCTGGCTGTTGATCTTGAGCGAATCTTACAACACCTCTGGTCGCAGCTACCTTACCTGAAAAGTGGGAATATTAGCCCCCCATCACATGATGACTATGAGGACTGATTAAATAAACAAACATAATGAAATGAAAGCATCCAGCAGAGCTGTTGAGGCACAGGAACTGGCACTCGACACATATTTGCGGAATTTGAGTGTGGATGGGTGGAGCAGGGAAGAACACGCAGAGAACAAGAAGCAACTATATTATGACGATAATCAGAACTAAAATTTGGGCAGTGCTTTCAACTTTATAATACCGTTCCCCATGTAGTATCTCATTCAAGCTTCAAAATAAGTGCCCTTAAAGTAGGTGTTAACATTTCACTTATAGATGAGGAAACTGAGGCGCACAGAAGTGAAGCAAGTGATACAGCACAAACTTGACCCAGTGCTAAGTGACTCCAGACACCCCAGTGTCCCCCTCCACTGGGTGACTCCAGACACCCCAGTGTCCCCCTCCACTGGGGATACATGAGCTCACGTGCAGCATCACCAGAGAACAGGAATCATGACTGCTTCCTCACTAAGATGCCGACAGCACCCATCACACAGGATAAAGAGAGAAGAGCAAGCCCGTCTGAGTCCCAGTCCTTCGTTCAGAAACCTGCCGACCGTGTGACATTAGGCAAGTTGCCTTATTTGTCTTAGCCTCAGTGTCCTCATCCGTACAGTGGAGGTGATAATAACATCTCTTGCACAGAGTTGTGAGGGTCAGTTCACTTGAGGTTAGAAAGGCATTCTATGCCAACCCATGGAAATTTAAGTAAATGAACAGACTGGTTTTAATAAGAGAATGTGTGTCTTCTTCAGCAGGAGGTAAGAGAATAAGGGAAAGAAAACAGTAATACAAGAAAGATCTACAGAAAGACAGTGAAAGAAACAGTGTCTGTATGTGTATGTGTATGTGTGTGTGTGTGTGTATGTGTGTGTATTTTGAGGTAAAGAAAAAGATCAGAAAATCATAGAAGGCCAGATCTGAAAGGACCTTTGAAATCCATGTAGTGGGATCCAACTCTCGGGTTTTAGAGTTGGGCACTGAGGATCAGAGAAGAGAAGAGACAGCCATTGGATTAGGACAGAGGACTTTGACTCCAGACCTGAGCTCTTACGGAGGCTGAAATGCAGGGACATCATCAGGTAAGCCCAGACATAAGGCTCCCAGACTGTGTCCCTTCTGAGGTCCCTGGAAACCTCACCCCAGTAAGGGTCTCTGAGGCCTATGACCCAGCCTTCCAGGGAACCTGGATTCTGGAAGCCACAGTCTGCTCTGAAATTGCAGTGGTTTCTGAAAGACAGGGCTGGTCATTCTATCGAGAGTCTTACAGAAGCAAGCATGGCTGTTTCTGTCCCATGGCTGCAAATGGGAAGCTACCTGCGTGGAGTCTACACTGAATGCCGGGTGACTTTGCATTAGATGCTCAGCTTTCCTGGGGCCACTCTTTACTCTTGGGTGCAAAGAGGGGACTGGGCTAAATTATCTCCCAGTTCCTTTCCTGGTCGACATTTATAGGTTCTGGGATTCAAAGTGCATCTTACCACATGGAGAAATTCATCATCTCCACTAATGTGCAGGCCTGAAGCAACGGGCAGGTGAGTTTTCAGCTCACCAGCTTCAAAAATTGCTGTGACCTTTGTGGGCCTCTCCCCCTCTGGCCACATGGAAATAACAGGCCCCAGAGATTTAGTATCAAAACAAAGGAAAGTGTGCAAAAAACTCTCTCGCCTGTCCCCACACCACACGCCAATCCCCTCCCTATCTTCTCTCCCTACCCTTTTCCAACACTGCTTTTGCTACCCCACCCCACAGCCTGTCCAGTCCTCCTCAGTATGTGAGGCGAGTCGTAAGAACAACAGTCTCTGGAGTTTGTTGAAGCCTTTACTGCTTGCAAAGTATTTCATATCTGTAACTGCATTTGTCCCCCCAGGAAGCTATGATGCAGGCAGGGTGGAGAATGGTCACCCACCAATTACAAAGAAATCGAGGCTGAGGAGTCATGGAGGAAGAGAATGGTGAGTGCATGACCCCCATCAGCAGATGTGTTGTGTTCATACTTAAAAAAACCCCGGGTTGGGTCTGGCTTGTGGTAGGTGTTCTGTGAGCTTCTTCCTCTTGCTAATGCTGGAGTCAGAATGACTGAACAAATGCCAGCCCCTCTCCCTCCCTGACTGGTGATGAGCTGCTCGAGGGCATGGGCACAGCTTGTTTGCCTCTATCTTTATCACCTACGCAAGACCTGGTACAGATGAGGTGTTCCCGTGAAAGGAGTGAGAGGAAGACAGGGAGGTGGGGAGAGGAAGAGGAGGGCGGGGTGTGGGGGCTGCGGCTGGCTGAGAGAGAGTGCCTGACTTACGTAGGAGAAGTCCTCTGCGTTGTGGCAGAGGAGCTTGGGGAAGATGGCCTGCCTCTGGAACCGTTCCTCATCCTCAAAGATGTTGCCGTACATGAAGCCATTCATCATGGTGGAGTGGGCGTGGATGTCAATATAGAACTCCAGGCTAGTTTTCTGTTGAGAGAAAGGATAACAAATGAGAAGTCTGGGCCACAGAGCTCGCCTTAAAGGGACCAGACACTACACCTACACACACACACACACACACACACACACACACACACACACACCACATTTTATTTCAAGCTGGCCGCATGCGTCAGCTGATTTAGCAGCCATTTGCAATGGGATGCGAGGGGTTCAGAGGGTGAGGGTGAGGATGAAATTCTCCTCACCTTTAACATTGTCTGCCCTCAGGGTCTGAAAGCACTACCATTAGCATCCCTCCTTAGAGGTCTTCTGAAGAAGTGAGGTTTTTGCTGGGTTAAGGCATGACGTTACTTGCTCAGAACAGTTAACACATTCATGACTAGACATGAGTGGAATTTATTTCTCTGACTAATGAGAAGTACCTTCCAGGTACCATAATTGTATTTACTACCTGCTTGTAGTTTTGCCCCAACTTGGCCATTTCTAGCTGGGGATCTGGGTATAAATCGTGTCTCCACTTTGAGACTTGGCTTTCTTTTTTTTTTGTTTTTGAGACCGAGTCTTGCTCTGTTGCCAGGGTTAGAGTGCCTTGATGTCAGCCTAGCTCACAGCAACCTCAAACTCCTGGGCTCAAGCGATCCTCTTGCCTCAGCCTCCAGATTAGCTGGGACTACAGGCATACATCAACACACCAAGCTAATTTTTTCTATTTTCAGTAGAGACGGGGTCTCGCTCTTGCCCAGGCTGGTCTCAAACTCCTGAGCTTAAGTGATCCTCCTGCCTCTTCCTCTCAGAGTGCTAGGATTATAGGCATGAACCACCGTACCCCGCCAAGCCTCAGCTTTCTTAACTGAAAAAAGGGTATTTGAATTCCAAACTCAGAGAGTTATAGTGGGAATCAAACACAGCAATAATAATTACTATCATTTGCTGATTATCTAATGCATGCCAGGCACCATTCTGCGAGCTTTATATATGAAGTCTTAGTTACTTCTTTTATTTAACCTTGTTTCATGATGTTATACCTACTCAACAATGTATAAAGAGTGCATGGGGAAGAAAGCCTTTGCAATCTGTAAAGATGACATTGACTTGCTCTTTACTTACACATATTTAAGACACTTCCTTGCTTGAACGTTATAATTGTTAACCTTCCCTGAAGGTAGGAGGATTATTGTAAAGAGCCTGTTGCTGGATGTGAAGGGTGCTTGGTAACTGTATGCAGAATGATTGAACAAACAACCCCAGAGAAACTACTCTAGACACCCTAATGGACTGGCAGAAACCGGGGGATTTTTAGGCCATAAAGATCTTCAATGTCCCTCAAATCTAACCTTCTCTTCCTATATATCAGCTCAATTTATGTCTATTAATCCTTTCTGAAAGTACTGGAGGACCCAAATGGGGACGGGACTTGCCCAAGCTCATGCAGTAACTGGGACTGACATCTAGGCCTCCTCGCCTGGCACAATTAATTAACTTATCCTCATCGATGGCCAACACTAGAAACAGTCAAGGCAAAACCTGGCTACCTTTCATCTCCTTTCTAGCACACAGTCCTGGGAAAGAAGAAATGCACATTTGGAAGGATTCTCCCTCCTAGGGACACTTTCAAACGAAGTTAAAACCAAATGAAAACCGTGTTGCTTCTAGAATGTGGGCTCAATGACTGTCATTTCATTTGCCTCAGAGTTGGAGTGAAAAATTGTGTCTTGCCGAGCTCCCCGTTCTCTGGGTAGCGTAAGCTGTCTTTTGAGAGATACAAGATGCACTGCTCTGGGTGATATTAAACTCATCATTTTCAGCTTTGGAGGTGGAATACGCAATGATTCAACAGGAGCCCTATAAAAGTCATCTTCGCAATTTTATTTTCTTCAATTGTCTGTCTTTTCCTCTGAGCTTTTGATGAGCTGCAGAGGAAAGGAGGAGGTAGAAAGATGATTTAAGAAATGTGTAAGGAAAAGCTGCAGTTTATGTCTCTGGCTGTCAGTGCTACAGAGGGCCCTGGAAACCAGTTTCTCTGACCTTTCTCAGATCAGCCCTGTGTGGGGAGGTTACTTGCATAAGGCTGGCCAGCAAGTTAGTGAAGAACCCGGCTTTTCTGACAACCATTCAGTGTGGCTTCCACTGCCCCATCCTGACACCTGGCAGCTAATGGGACTTCACTTTAAATAACCAGCAGCTGAATTGTATTGACTGATTCATAGGATGCAAAAGTCAAAAGACATGACATAATTTGCAGTGAAAAACTTCCCTTCTACCCTTATCCTCCAGTCACCCAGTTTTGTTCCCCGGAGGTAACTAATGTTATCAGGTTCTCATGTATCCTTCCAGAGATAGTTTGTGCATTTACAAGTAAATATCCCCCCACTCCCAGAGCCCCTCTCTACAAATAGTAGCACCCTAGACACACCCTTCAGATCTCCTTTTTTTCCCCCCTCTGAATATTTCTTATATATGATTCTTTCTTTAGTACATAGGCACCTCATTCTTTTAAATAGCCATTTAGAAATTAACCAGTTCCCTACTGATGGACATTTAAGGTGTTTCCGGTCTTTTTCTGTTGGAAACAGTGCCTTGGTGATGGACTTTGTATGTATATTATTTCGCACATAAACAATAATATGTAGGGTAAATTCCTAGAAGTGGTATTTCTAGATCCTATGTGCATTTTCAATTCTGATAAATATTGACCAACTGACCTTAGAAGGGCCAGTATACTCCTAGTCATGTATTACAGTGTATCTTTCTCTGTTACCTTGACAACATGGGTGTAATCAAACTTTTTGATATTTGCCAATTATATGGGGGAAATTATACCTAAGATTAGTTTTAATCTGAATTTCTCTTAGTACTATACAATTATCTTTTATTGTATGGTTAAGCATCTTTTCACATGTTTAAAAAATATTTGCATTTTCTTTTCTATGAACTATCTGTTCATTTCCTTTGCCCATTTTAAAAATTATGTTGGGCTTTATTTCTTACTGATTTATATTAATAGAAGCTATATAGTAGAGAGACTAGCCATTACATGTAATATAAAAACTATTTTGTCATTTGTCCTTTTACTTTATTTTTACTAGTACATTTTTCCATGTAGAAATTTTTAAATTATGCAGATTTATCAATATCTTCTTTTGTGGTTTCTGGGTTAAATTCTTTCATTATTTCTTCTATTTTATTGTTTTGTTGTTTATTTTTAAATATTTTGTTTCAATTTTAATTTATATAGATGTAGGGTGTGAGGTACGGATTAAATTTCATCGTCCTAATGCCATTTATTGAATTGTGAATCTTTTTTCCACTGACTTAAAAAGCCATCTTTACCACATAAATTTTTGTATGTATTTTTTTTAAAAAAACTTTCCATTCTGTTTTAATCATTTGTCTATTATATGTCAGCACCACACTGCTTTAATTCTTTTCTGTTTATAACACATTTTGATATTTAGAGGGCTAGTATTCCCTCATTACACTTCTTTTTCTGAACTTTCATGGATTTTCTTGCATATTTTCCTATACAATCTTTTTAATTAGCTTGTTTAGTTTTCCCCACACCCCATAATCTTGTCAATATACTCAATATTTGTAATATAATCATGTTAAATTTGCAGATTAGCCTAGGAAGAATTGGCTCCTTTGACTTTGAAACTTCCTATCTAAGATGTTTTGAGTTCCCATTTATTCAAGTTTTCTTTTGGGTGCAGCAGGAAGCTTTTAAAGTTTTTTTTTCCATATATATCCTGAATATTTCTTTTTTATACTCGAGCAGTCTATATTTCTAGTTGCTGCTGTAAATGTGATGTTTTCTTTCATTAAGTCTTCTAACTAGTGGTTCTCTGTAAATACAAAAGCTTTTGTTTTCAACATATAAAGTTTGTACCCACACACTTCACTAAATCTATTATGATTTTATTGTAATATCTCATTTGATTTTCTTGGATTTTCATTTGTTTACTCATTCAGCAAATAAATTACTGAGTTCCTATTATGTGTCAGACAGTGTTCTAGGCACTGGTAATATGTGCCAGGAAGTATTCTGAGCACCAGAGATATAGCAAATGAACACAATAGAAAGCTTTTGATCTCAAAGAATTTACATTCTATGGTGAGAGAGAGAAAATAAATAAATCAATTAATAAATATGAAGGATGTCATGAGGTATTAATGCCATGGAGACAAAGCAAGGTAAGGGAACAGAAAGTAATAGAAGTTTTAAAAACACAGAGACTTGAATGAAGGAGAGTTAGTCTCGAGAATATCAGGTGGAAGAGTCTTCTATGTTGCAGAAGTAAATGCAAAAGTCATTTGCACTTGGTATGTCTGAAGAACAGCAAGGAAGTGAGAATACCTGGAAAACAGGGGTGAATAAAGAGACAGTACTTTCCATGTAATCTTATCACCTATATATAATAATTCTATCTCTTCCTTTTAGTTTTTATGCTTATAATTTCTTTTTCATGCCTAACTGCATTGGCTAGTACTGCCAAAACAATTTAAAGGATTAGTTCATTTTTAAGATCACTTTCTACTTTGAGATTCTAGAGGCTGGAAATAAAGTAGGAAAAGGTCTAGGAAATTTATCTGAAAGGAGTCTGAATTTGAGGTCTTAGTTCTTCTTTTTCCTTGTTACACATATTCAGCACTTTGCTGGGGATGCCAAACAAAGACTCATTCTGATAACATCCTGATTATGTTTTGTGCCTAAACTGGCCTTATGGACTTGTGTTGGCCTAGTTAGAATGAAACAGGGGTTCTAGTTCCAGTTCTAATATTAACATAATCTGTGATCATGGGCAAGGAGTAACTCTTCATCGTGCCTCAATTATCTCATCTGTGAAAGTGATAAATGGATGAGATAGAGGAGATATTATTTCCTTAAACTTTTCATGACTTCTCATCCTCAGTTAACATAAATCCCTCATTCTACACACAGCTTATTGCTTGGGCCTTGATATCAGTACTTATTGTTATATGCCTAATCTGGCTGATAAGTATGTCTGCTTATGAGTTCCTTGAGG